GGGGGCAGGGGCTGGGCAAGTCTTTTCCGGTTTCAGAGGACTGCCTTTCGTGGGACTGGCGACACCTGATTCTTGGTGGCTATTATTTCAAGCCAATGGAATCAAATTAGTTTTGTCATGAAGACTTTCTGAGCTTTGTTATCATGTTCCTTGAGACCATATAAAAGAGGGTCCCAAACCAATATAAAGTAGAAACCATAGCCATGCGCCATGGCCATGCGCATGAGCAATGAGCACAGGCTACTAAGAAATGTTTGGCTGGTTTGTGCATTTGACCTTATTCCTCCCCAAACCAAGTGTCTATGGCAAGGCCACATGACTAAGGACTGTCCCCTGAGTGACTTAGTCAAAGGAAGTATGAAGTGAAGCTGAACGGTTCTGACATTTAAATTGTCGTGGAGACAGGGTCCACAAGGGGCAGCCCGAATCCTCCTCTACTTCTCCATCACTTTAAATAATTCAAGTTGAAAACCCTAGCTGGTGAATAATGTTACTTTTCTATTTCTGATGGTTTCTTCCCCCCCCCCGGCCCCCCGCGCTTTGGGACAGTTGAGTAATGAGGTGGTGGGGGAAGATGGCTATGGCAATGCCTTTAAGTTATGGACCCTTAGCCCTGTGAGGATCACCGAAGAGGCCAATGGGAAAGTTCCGATCTCAGCTCAAAGCAGACAGCTGTTCTCCGGACAGTCATCCTGGGAATACGACCAGTATATGCCACAGTCTGGAAGTCTAGGCTCGGCCCACCTGTATTGTCATGGCACTATCAGAAAAGGGACCCCTCCTCGCAGTGGGGTTCCAGATCTCCCTACATCTCCATGGAGCAGGGTGAATAATACTATCGCTATGGGCTTTCAGAGAAATAGTGAAGTAGATTGACGCAGTATGGTTTGGGACCTCCAGCTGGGAGAAGCAGAGCTCAGCAGCTTCCGCAGGGATGGAGGGCAATGGCATCATGGAACGGGGTTTCATGACATGCAGCCACACATGGCCAGGCCAGCCAACCCAAGGACCTGTGCTTGGCGGTCGCCCCCTTACTCTTCTGTCATGGTCCCGGGGAGGCTGCCAGCTACGAGTTAAGAGCAAAACTCTCTTTGATTTATAACCTGAGTCTGGACTAAAGCCTAGAGAAGGCATTTGGAATAAAAGAGAAATTTCTCCCTCCCCGTTCTTAGATATATCACTTTATGATTCTGTAGAGGGGAGGATGGGAGGGGCGTCACTGTCAAAAGGAGCTTGCCATCTTTCACTCGGTTCTTTTCGCTAACCACAAGATAGACCATTTGTCATGTGAAATTGGAGGCAGGAACGGGTATCGGGAAAGAACACATCTCGTGGTGCACATCTTGTTCTCTGCAAATAAAACACCTAGAAAGTTCTGAAGCCTCTGGGCTTGCCTAAGACCACATGTAAACCTCAGTTCACTTCAGTTCACATTTCTGGCTTGTGGGAGAGCGTCTCAACAGGCAAACAGATGCTTTTAAAGATTGAAGCTTAAAATATTTTTTGCCTTCCGAACGACATTTCTGCCTTTTTGCCCAGATGAAGGGGTCTTTGCTCCGGGCCCTGGGAAGGGGGAGAGTAGGTGGGGTGGGCAGAATACCACCCGGCTCTCAGGTAGTTCCTGTTCTCCTGAGCAAATGGAAGGGTGGTTTCAAAACACAAGAAAAGGCAGAGAAACCGCCAGATTTTTGGAGTGTAATTTACTCCACCAGTGGGATGTGGATGCGGGGAGTCAGGTTGCAATCAGGCAGAGCCCAAGTGTTCTTTAAGAAAATGTTCCCTATTTTTGTGTGCCTTGGCAAACTCGGGGTGGAATGCAAGGGTTGCCATAGCAACATAATCCCCCCCCTTTTCTTTTACAGATTGGTCACGTGGGACCCACGCACATTCTGGAAGCCACTTCTAATAGTTCCCATGCTGGGTCCTGTCTGGGGGCTCTGTCTGCGTCTGGAGTGATAGGAGACAGCTTGCTGTGAAGCCAAGGGGATCAGGGTCTACATGCCTTGTCCCCCTAGCAAAATGCCTCCCCGATCATCGCTTGTGTGGTCTGGAGGCACACCGGTTCTTACAGCAAGAATGAGCCATGCTTTATCTGTGAGCATCATAAGTAGCTGTGGCGAGGACCCGAAGTACCTCTGGTATGGACGGGACCTGCCGAAAGTCAACCTCTTAAGCCTTACAAAGAATCCCAACACCTTTGACAGACTGTCCAGGCAAATCAGCCAAGGGGGCACGTCACAGAGACGAGTTCTTAGCTCCCAAAGTCTCAGGAATGCAACTACCTTTGGGCTATCTCCCCACACTTCAGCCCCTGGGTGCCACACGTGTGGAGGCCACCGTGGTGGGAGGTCAACTCTAACCCACCCAAGAGAGTTCTAGAGCTTCCATGGTGTCCTTCCTCCTCACAAGGGATGCATGCTCCTCGAATCCCTTTTGGGTAGGATGGGCTTGCTTACTGGTCACTGGGAAGGGAAAAGGGTCCTCTTCAGGGAGAGGATGCTGAGGCCTTGAACAGGTTGTTGCTGCCTCTCTAGAGCTCCTTTTAATCCCTGCCCCTGCCTCGTGGCTAAAATCTCTTCTAAGTCTCACATCCTTCGGAGACCCCGTTCTCCGGTGAGAGGCAGAAGAACTTGCAGAGAGCCAGCCTTTGAAGAAGCATCGCAATCCCTTCTCACGGGGCAGGCTCCTTTAGAAGTCATCCCTTGGGGTCTTTATTCAATCTGCTTTGGCTCCCCAGGAGGACATGGTCTAGTGGTTCACGGGGTCCTTCCCGTCCAAGTCCAGTTGGGGGGTCGGGGGAGATAAGCTGCTTTGGGCAAAAACTAATGACGAAGTTGACTTATGTGTTAGTGCTCTGTGTTCGGACCTGTCCTCATTCCGGAAGCCGATCCTGAGGACCATGGTGAGTCGGGCAGGGGGAGAGAGAGAAGAGGCAGATGAACAGTGTGTACCGTGGCAGGGCAGGGTGGGCGAGAGGGACAGGCAGGCTGCTGCCTTCCTTGGCCTGGATGTGCGGGACTCCAGGCATTTTCCCAGGGGGACCCTCAGCCCCCGGGGCTCTCAGGAGCTTACACCTGCTCCATCCTCCGGACTATGGCTCAAACCCTAGTTTTACTTGTGCTCATCATGAATATTTGTAGTCTCCCACAGTGGGGAAGTTTCTACAGCTGCCCCCTGGCTGTTGCCTGAAGCGCTTGCAGAGGTGAACCGGAAAAAGACCCTAAAAGGACGAGTCAGAGAAGGCAGTAAGGGAGAAAACTGAGGCGG